TAACACCCAAATGTCGGTCTCTTCCTCTTCTAACAGAATAAATGACTCTGGCAACTAAATAGATAAATTACCTGAGATCCATAAATACATCCATCCATTCATTCATCCAAGCATTCGACAAATATTTTTTGCATGCAAGTTCTGTGCAAGACATTGCTTGGTTCTGGAAATTCAACTCTAAGCAAGAAAACTTGATACCTGCTGCAGAGAGCTTATAATCTTGTGGAAAGGCAGCAAAGGGAGTTATATCGTATATAATGGATATATATTATATATAATGGATATGTACATTGTATATAATGGATATATATAACGGTAGGATGGCTGATGTCTTAAGGGCAGGGAAGGCTTTCTTGAGGAAGTAACGTTTAAGCTGAGGTGTTATCTGAGAAGAAGGAAGAGTATACACAGAGACCTAAAAACCTCCATTGGGTCTCACTGTTGACTCTTGGCCTTGAGTTCTTCACATGGTGAAGTGGAGCCCAGACTATGAGAAATGTAACAGGAATATACACCTTAATGTAGGCAGGAATCATCAGAAAGAAACTACGTCTCAGTGGGGAATATGTGCTCCTGGTGAGCTGCAGTCTAGAATATTTCTGTAAGTTATTGCTTATGTCTTCTCTGTATTTTCCTGGCTCTAGCAAAAGACTTTAGAGTGTAGGTAATTAGAACATTGTTGTTGAATGAATCATCATATTTTAGCTTTTCTCTTATAACCAATAGATACTTCTCGAGTGACTATTGACTTAGAATGTGTTGTTTCATTTGTAAGAATTATACAAACTTTAATAGCTGCCTATTTTAAAAAGACAGATAAATTTCACAGTAGTGTGCATATATGCATGCATTAACTTGCACTTTTTTATTTTTTTTACTTCTGTTTCAATGGTCATAGTTGTGTATATGTGAATAGGTAGATGGATAGATGAGTTATATCCAACTTTCTTCAGAAGTGTATAGACTCAATTATCATAAAATATTAAAGTTTAAACTCTGTTACCCTGGATATTTCATGTCACTTGTCAGAACGTTGATTTGTAAAATGAGGCTAATAGTAGAACTTTGGGCTATAGTAAAGATTTAAAAAAGACAGATTGAAAAACAAACACAATTATGGTCATTATTATTTCACTCCAAAGTGTAATAGCTGAAAACTTCACAAAGTCCATTTGAGACATTAAATATATATGTCTAGATATGCAAATCTCATACATAGCACTCACCATGTGAGACATATATCAAATATAGATTTATATAAATTTTTGCATAAATTGATATTTATTCATATATTTGATTTTGATACATCAAAAGCTCTACCTGTTGCTCTGGCTCTTTGACTTCTCTTTTATGTAGTGGATGAAGTCTCATAGGATAAACCACTTCATACTTCTTTGCCCCAGGGAGTTCTTTTACAGCATTTACTGAAGGGGAAAAAAAAAAGAAAAAACATTCATTTTTAAAAATTTTCTTCAGAAAGCAAAGCAGAAACTTTCAAAAATCCCTAGTGATATCAAGTTTTTATTATTTTAAAATGGCTTTAATTCATCTGGCCACTCAAGAGCCATTTATATCTAACTAACTTTGAAGAATAGAAAAAGAGGTTAAAATCGGCTAAGAACTCTTCGAGTCAAAAATAGGGTGTCAAAATAATGAAACATTTTTTCTTTCAATGGCTTGAGATTCTAAAAAAAAAAAAAAAAAAAATTTCAGAAAAGCCATGGCACTGACACTAGAATATCTTAATTTTGAATTTGGTTTGGGTTTTTTAATTGTTTGAAAAGGGGGGCAGATTAAATGGTGTCTAAAGCTAGTTCAAGTAGTCTACGATTTTATGCAAACAAACCCAGAATCCCTCTTTGATGAGCCCACGGTCATTACGATAGCTAAATTCTAATCAGTTGTGATAAAATAAGCCTCATCACATTGTCAAAGTTCAGTAATGTCACCGCAAGTTTCTCCAGTTACTCATTTCTTGCTCTCATGGAAGTAATCATTGGGTGTCTTTCATTTCAATTTACTTAATTTTTGGTAAAGGAAAGTAATAACATCAGTTATAAAACATTTCTGTGACAGAAGTTCAAAAGCCTAAAGGAACACTAAATCGATCATCTTTCTTTCCATTGAGTTAAAATTTTCATAATTATCATAATTATTCAAAACACTAAAGATAACAGAGGTAAGAAAATTACCCTTGCCAGAAATTAAGTGGTGGTATTGACACAATTCCCTGCTGCCTCTTTAATTTAGGGACACAAAACAAGCACACCATAAGGCACCAACATGCTACCTGGTGTATTACAGTGTCTAATCAACGCAATTAGTCCTGTTACTATGGAGTTCATGAAGCCAAGTTTCACTAATGCTGCAGCCAAGGTAACTCTCTCAAAGATGCTGTATTAGTGGGTTTCATCCATCACACATGTGATTCTAATACAAAATAGTAGTCCAAGCTACCTTCGGGTCATAAAATAATAACCACCCACCTGATTCTTTGCATAAAAGCAGAAAGTGATAATACAAACACTCCCCATTCAGAAGTAGCAAGAAGGGAAACAGACTAATATAGCCAACACAAATTTTCTGACGTGCACACTGACCTCCATGCTTCTAGCTCGTATATGCATCTTAATGTTTCATGAAATCCAAAATTACCAACTGGATCTTAAATATGGACTCAAAATATGTAAATTAGCTATGAAATTTATTTCTGACCCTTTGTTGGTAGCTGAGAACTTCCAAATGGAAACCAAAAACAAACAAAACAAAAACAAAAAACAATATTTCTTTTAAAAACCTTTGACATCCTCTCACTCTCTTCGGTTTGAAGTGAATGGATTTCCAGCTCTTTCCAAACCCTTGCAACACAGTATGTTCTCTAAAGAAATCAGATAGAATTTTCCTTAAAGGCTCTTATCTTCCCAAAACCTAGAAGGTAACTGAAATAATGAGGTCTGAGATATAACAATTATACAGCAGTTATAAGGACCTAACAGACTTAAACATTGTTTGGCTCAATTATCCTCAGGTTTGGAAGAGATAGTGCAGACTCCTCCCAACTGAATAACATCAGCTTAATTATTTCAAAGCCTGAGGAACAAACACAACTAACTCTTATCTGGGGATTACACAAATCCAAGGTGTAACACAGTATGTTTCTATTAGTTTATTTTAATACTTGTTTTCTCTCCCCCACAGAACTCACATGTTGGATTAGTTTTGACCCACAAAACTGGATCAAGAAAAAGAAAACTGTTATTTTGGTTTGGATTGGATAATTAATTTTTACTGTTCATTAGTTTTAGCAAAGCCAACGCTCATTAACAAGATTAATATAACAGACACTTGTCTGGATTGCTACTTTATTTGTCAATGTGTTTGGAATTAGAACATTTGTGCGTAATACTGACATTTTCATTTTTGTTCGAATCTGTTCAAATCTATTTAAAGCGATGTCTTTCCAAACTGAACACATGACATTAAGTCCTGAATTAGGGTTTATGCAATGACATTGACTTCGGTTCTGAGATTCTCTGTATCGCCTCAAACTGTCTTGTGATTTAAACTGCACACAGTAAAATGAGTAAAAGCATTAAGGAAAACACCACATCCTAATTAAGTCTATTATTAGGGTTATTAAGGTTAAATTGAACATACTCTTTTGGGTCTTCTAGTCACCTTATGAAGGCAAGAAAGAACTGCTCGTTTGCCATAAAATAATTTCAGAAAGTACTGTACCCCTTGGATACTCTGCTGGAACATACCAGAAATCTTTCTCCTTTGTCCAGCACTCACATCCTCACCCCACAAACACCCGTCACATCCTTTTAAATATTTGAGTTTTTTTTCTTTTCCTAGGACGAAATCCCATAAGCCATTTTTCTCAGGGGATTGTGAAGCTCGTTACAAACAGCTGGCCTTGTTTTACATTTCATTCTTGCATTTCAAGTGTCTGGGAACTGTGCAAAAGTAATCGTCAAAGTGGCCCGTAAGTATTGCTTTGATGATGGGAGCAGAGAAAGAAAGAGGCAGAGACGGGGAATAAAAAATGCTTTTCTTCTTACATTCTGGCTGGAAGATAAACCCAAATGGGAATGATAACAGGGGTATCTCAGTGGCCAAGGAGACAAATGATAACAGGGGTATCTCAGTGGCCAAGGAGACAACCTTAAAAACACAAGCTCGGGAGTTAAGGGGAGGGGCAATGTCACACTTTCAGGCATGACTGCTAAGGAACACAATGTCTCTTGGTGCCATGTTGTAAATGCATTATCAGGTGAGCAGCAACAGCTGATGTGCCCAACATCACTGAAAAAGCTGCAATGTGCACAGATCCCCCATGTTAGCCATCTCTGTTAATGGATCCAGCCTGATAGATCTTCATGCTCTTCAGCAAGCGGGTACCCAAGCAGTTCTTTGTTTCAGCTAAGAGAGGGATCTGACAGTGGTGTTGGTGATAGCACTTTTGGAGAGTGCAGGGAAAAAAGATTCCTATTAAATTTGGCTCAAAAAGTAAGAATTTCAATCAATAACTTAAATGCCTGGCATCAGTTCTATATTTAAAGATGTCAACTAAAAGTTTTATGAGCCTGGAAAACAAATCAGAAACAGATCATTGGTAGGAAACCCATTTTTAATGACAAAGTACTAAGTGGGTGCATGGAAGAGAAGAATCTTTCTCTCCCGAACTCCATACCCCTTTTGATAATCTTTTCACACTGCCAGGTCTAAGGCCCAAGGAAAGGTTTACTAGGGAAGGACTGCAGGCACCGCAGCTAGTGTGCTGACTTAAATAAAATCTGGAAATAGAAATAAACTGAAGAAACACGTTACCCAGTCTAATTTAACTAAAATCTAATTAGAGAATTTATCAGAAATGCAGAGATATGCCAGACATAATTTATTATTAGGAAGTAGTATTTTTTTCTACTTTTAAATTCTTTAATGTTTCATAACCAGCAAAATGAAAGCGAATTATCAACTTAAGTTTAACAGCAATGTTGTTTTGCCAAGCAATATCACAGTATATTATAAATAAAAAATTGGCCAACTGTTTATTTTCAGTTAGTCACATTTATTATC